TTACCCTTCCTATATCTATTTTCAAATTTCTATATATTTTCAACATTTTAACACAAGTGATTTTGGGAATAATTTTATTTTTTTAAATTTGTTTTGTAGGTTTTCGAAATTTACATATTGATGACCAGATAACTCTCATCCAGTATTCTTGGATGAGCTTAATGGTGTTTGGACTAGGATGGAGATCTTATAAACATGTCAGTGGACAAATGCTATATTTTGCACCTGATCTAATACTAAATGAGTAAGTAGTAACTTGATTTTTGTTCATATTATCACATAAGTGTATATGTAGGATAATCTTTAAAATTACATTTCAGTAGATGATTACACATTTAGTATCCCAAATAATAGAATTTTCCTGAAATGTTTATCAGAATTATCTCAGGATATAGCTTGATATAACAAAATTAATAAAATTGTGTCATTATATCAGTAACTTGATATTTGGAGATTCCCCTTTTGTTTCAATATATAGTAGTCATGTCAAATCAATTTTTTTAAACTTCAAAAGTGTATCAAGAAATATACTTAAAGATAAAATGAAATTTTTAGTTTACCAAATTAAAATTTTATACCTTGGTACTAATGAATATAATTATTTAAATTAGAAGTATTTTTGCTTGAAACTATTGACTTATTTTCAAAAAGTAAAGATATTATCTCTCCTCCTAGAGGGAAAAGTCAGACAGGTCAGTTATTTTAAAAATTGAAAGACAAATATTTCAATTTTCTTGGTTATATTTAAATTACTATAATTAATTTTCTACATATAACCTTAAACTGAATAAGAATCTTTTCATGGAAATATTTATACCATTCTAATGATGAATGCTGACTCAGAATTATATGACATATTAAGTTACTTTTGTTTTTATAGTTAACAGATAATTTTCATATATTTTATTCCATTTTGCCCTATAATCCCTTGAAATAGGTAAGGAATCAGTGTCCTTCATTATACAGTTCAGGAAACAGGCTCAGAGGAATTGTATATCCTGCCAAAGAATCTGAGTGACAGTCAGGATTAATTTTAGCTCTTCTGAGTCAAAACCTAGTTTTCTTTTCACAATTTGTGTTAGCTGCATGTGACTACTGTGGATATTGCAGAACAGCACATGGTTGAGAAAATACCTTTAAAAATTTTTCTTCAACCTTCAGAATTAGTGTTTGGCCTTGTCAGTTATTTAATCCTTTGTAATGTTCTCTTTGTCACTATACATTTCCCCTAGAATAGTTCATGGTATAACTCTTCTACACTGACTACTCTGAACTGAATACACTGAACTATTCTACATTCTTCAGTTTCTGTGAACTGAATCCATTCTCCAATCAGATTACCACAAAATTTTATATCTATTTTTTAACAGAAAAAATCATCAGTAAATACATGATTTCCTGAGTGTTCCTCAGCTCCACATTCTCAACTCCTTAGGTTTTTAAATGTAATAATAAAAGTGAGAAACAACATTAATCTTGGTCAATATGTATTTAATATTATTTCTTACTTTAAAATTTCTTAACCTCAAAAATTCAGTATTGTGAACAAAATATTGAGTTTGTTTACAAAAAGACATTTTCTGTAATAAGTAAGTTACCAAATCTAATTTTCTCTGATAAATTACACAAACTGGCTAAGACACTGTCTGTGTGTTTCTTTTTTGCTCTTGCTTTTTCTTTTGTGTGTTGTGTGTGATACAAGACAGAGGATGAAGGAATCATCATTCTATTCATTATGCCTCACCATGTGGCAAATCCCACAGGAGTTTGTCAAGCTTCAAGTTAGCCAAGAAGAGTTCCTGTGTATGAAAGTATTGCTACTTCTTAATACAAGTGAGTGAGTACAGCAACTTTTACGAGATGTTTATTTTCTTAATTTTTAATTCATTGGGAAAGCCTCAAATGGCAGTATGATCATATGGTTATACATGAAGTCTGAATCTTAGATTGTGGCTGCCAAGGAGAAACACCTAATATACTATCATAGACATTAATAAAATTACTTCATATTTCTCAGGCCTTACATGATAATAAAATATCCCACCAATTAGGGAATTCTATTTTTTTTTTCAGATAAAATGTGCTTAAATGACTTTTTCATATTCACCTAATTAGGTATTATGAACTAGTTAATACTGCATAAACACAAACTATCTTCTTTCCATCCCCACTCCACAAAAGACTTACTATATAAAATACACATTTTTGTTTGGAACTATTATTTTTATATAGAATAGACAGTTAAATAACCTACAAAGATCAGTGGTATAACACAATAGCAGTTTTTTGTCACTCATATTCACAGTCCATTGGTTTAGGAAGAAAACCCATGCTCCTTCCATATAGGGGCTCCACACTTCCATAGCAGCTTGGATTCCTCCATTGGCTCTAACTAGAAGATAAGCACTGAGTGAGAAAAATTTGGACGTGAGGCCTGGAAATGTCGTATGTCACTTCTACCCACATTCTATGACCCATATTTAACTGTAGGAGAGGTTGGGAAATACACTGTAGCTCTATACCCACAAGAAACATTATGAAACATAGCATTGGTCACCAGAAGGACAGGCAAATATACATTTCACTCTTTCTCATACACAAAGAGCACACACAGCTCTGCTTCAGTGGAAAATTTTTAAAAACTGCTTTTACTTTTCACCTTTTTCTGTGTCCTTTCCATGCACTGGTAAGCTCAGCCTTTGAATATCTGAATTGACCCTTCTTTTACTCAGTGATTTGAAAGAGAACCTTAGGGAGTGAAGGTGAACCAGGGGTCTTTCTCAGTAGTATATTTTCAGGGACTTCTTTCTAGTAGCACAAATCTCAAATAGTGGAGGGGTGGGGTACACATCAGGAAAAAAAAAGGCAAAAAAGCTAAATCCTTAAAAAAGGATGTTTTCCTCATGAAATCTGTGCAAACACAGGGACCAATACAGGATCTAAGGATCCATAGCCCTATCCCCCCACCTTGGGAACACTATTTGGAGCAGAGACCTTCAAGCCTAATTTGATAAAAGAGCATAAAGTGGGCTAAAGTATTGATATGGAGCTAGCCAAGAGAGTCAGCTAGAATAAATTTAATATTATAACAGTTAACTCCTGTCCTTTTCTTGGCAGTAATGAATCCTATAGCAGTTAAGTTAGAGATAATCCTAGATTTCCCAAATTAGTTGTTATTATTAACATAATTCTATATTTATAGATAGGCTACATTATGCTGAAGGGCCAAACAACCCCACAATCTCAGTAGCTTAACAAAAAAAATTTTTAAATATTTATTTTTCCCACTATATGTCCAATGCAGATCAACAGGGAGGCTCTGCTCATTGACGTCACTCAGGTGCCCAGGCACATGGAAGCTATACTATATCTTGACATACACTTCTCCAATCACTAGAGCATTGGTAAGGAAGGAAATGGTAAGGGAAGGAAGGGACATATATATAACTTCCAGTCACATACCATAGAAAACAAGATTCTTGGCCACTTGCAGCTTCAAGAAAAGGGAAAAACAGCAATATTTGGTGAATAGTACTTAAGATTTCTACAAATTTTAATAAAAATCCTAATGGGATTTTTGAGGAGAGACTTGGCAAAGCTTTTGGGAATTTATCTTTAAATCTTAAACAGTAGATAAGTGTTACAAAAATTTTGAGGTGAAGAAGGAAATTAGAATTCTACCTAATTAATACAGTGTGAGAGAAGAATAGATACACTAAATTCTTAGTCAAGTCAGACTAGTATATATTAGAACTTAATATACTGTAGTGGAAACATCATGAATCAATGAGTATGGAGCAAATATTGTTAGGAAAAAATAAATTTTATATTTGGGGAAAACTTAGTTTGTATATTTAGCTCAAATTATATCTTAAAATAAATAACAGATAATTGAGTTAAATGTACACACTTAAAATGTTAAAAACATACCAAAAGGAATATAAATGATTTTGAGATTTCAAATAAGGAATACCCTTTTAAAAATAAATGCAATTGGAAAGTTGGTAAAGGAAAAGTTCAATGATTTGATACATAAGTATTTAAACCTCCAATTTGCCATTAAAAATTAAAATGAAGATCTTCAGGAAAATATAGCAGGTTGAACACACCATTGTTTCTTCTAAAATGACACTAAAATATTACTAACGGGATTTTTTTAAACAAATAAAAGAGAATGAGAGGAATCAATAACAATAAAATTCTGCAAGCCAGCAAGCAGAGCTAAGTTAGCATACCTGAGAAGGTTGGATTCTAAAGCAGAAGTAAGAAAAACCAAGAAGTACCTTGATTTGCAACACCAAATCTCTGGCATGTTTCTCAGTTGGCGACAACAATGATTTTTTGAGATGACAGTGAAGGTAGAGTTAAAAACACAAAGTTCTTTTTAAAGTCTATATCCAGAAATCACCCAACCATGAAATTGTCCCTCTCCAACTCAGGCAGAGACCTTAGGTTTAGTTCCTGAAGAGGATATAATAGAGGGTAGCTGGATTGGTGAACTGTAGGCATTGCTGAGGGTGAGAGGTTCCCTAATGACAACAGATTAATTCTATATCAAATGTTGATAAATCTTCCAGCATACTCCCTTCACCCCCATCTCCCAGAACATTGTTATCCAGGTTTATATCCTCTAGACAGGAGAATGAAAGATTCTTCTCTGCAGAATCTCTTTGGCCAGAAAGAAAAAGAACTAATATGTTAACAGTAGCTGTTTCTCTTTGAAATAGCTCAGCCAGATTGCCCTGTACTAAAGCTCACAGTCAATAAACACTACCTATTGAAACAGAACTCTGAATCAGCCTTGTAGTTTTCCACTCCTGAATATAAATAGCCAAGGCATCTGAGAGAGTCCTTTGACATCAAAGACAAAGACAAATCCGAAAGAAAACAAGCAAACAAACTCGGAAGACACAGATGAGGTAGGGAGATAAAACCTCAAAAAAATTAAAAAGCTATCCCTCTTTAGAAAGAGAAGAGAACATATTGCACCCAAGAAACAAGTACTGGATACGGTGAGAAAGGAATAACACATTAAAAGCAAATAGCTCTTGGAAATTGAAATTGAAAGTTGAGAAGCAGAATTTATATATATCTATATAATATATATAGATATATATAATGTATATAAATATAGATATATATAATGTATATATGAAAGCAGAATTTAAAAGTCAGTACAGGCATTGGTAGACAAAGAAAACCTTTCAAAAGTAGAGCAAAAACTAAAAAATATAGAAAATCAGAAGTAAGGAGGCCCAACACGCAAATAGTTGGAGCACTAGAAAGAGAGAACAGGAAAATACATAGGAGAAGAAATCATCAAGGAAATAATTAGTCTTTTTAACAAAAGGTGTTTGGAAAATTTCATTTAAAAAATGACGTTGGACTCTTATTAACTTAAAATGGATCAAAGACCTAACTCTAAGAACTTAAACTATAAAACTATTAAAAGAAAACAGACATGATATTGAATTTGGCAATGATTTCTTGGATATGACACACAAAACACAGGCAATAAAAGAAGATAAATGGATTTCATCAAATTTAAAACTTTAGTGCATCAAAGGTCATGATCAACAGAATAAAAAGTCAACCCACTATATGGGAGAAAAATTTGAAAATCATTTATCTGATAAAAAAAGTATTAATATCTAGAATATATAAAGAACTACAATTTAACAATTAAAAAATTTTTAAATGGACAAGGGCCTGAATAGACATTCTCCAAAGAAGGTATACAAATAGCCATTAAGCACATGAAAAGATGCTCAACGTCACCAATCATTAGGGAAATACAAATCAAAACCACAGTGAGATACCACTTCATACACTCATTTAGATGATTATTTACTCTCAGTAAAACAAAAAGTTGTACTAGAAATCATAATATATACTATGTGTGACTAGACTGTGGTAGCATTTTACATAACTAAATAATAAATACTGAATATTGATCTAACCAATATTATGAAAGTGATATTAGGAAGATGAGGAATAAGAAGTTGTGTGTGTGTGTATGTGTGTATGTGTGTGTGTGTGTGCTACTGGTATGGAGGTGATTGTAGATCTGAAAGATGGAAATGGAGCTAGAGCCTTATTTTGCACACTGGAAAATCAAAAGTAAAAATAAAAAATCAAGAATAAGCACTACAATGTTTCTATTTAATTCTGTCAAAGGAGAAATTAAAATAAAATGAAAAAGTTGAAAGTGTTTGCCTCTGGCATGAGAAAAGTTGAGTTGCCTGGGCACTACTTTTTGCCCTAATAAGGTTGTAAAACTGTGACAAAATATTTAAAAATTAAACAACAAACTTACGGGGCGCCTGGGTGGCTCAGTCGTTAAGCATCTGCCTTCGGCTCAGGTCATGATCCCAGGTCCTGGGATCGAGCCCAGCATCGGGCTCCCT